CGAAGAGAAGAATTTGGCTCTCGTGCATCGGGAACCAGAAGGTAGAACAAATTAACTGGTTCTCATTAAATTTTTAATCGACTGCTAGCGTAGTAATATTCAAATCGCGTAAAAGCAATGGTATAATGTAATTTTGTGATAAAAGGATTTAAAATTTAGTAATAAAATGACCAGTCAATTTCAAAATAGATACGGTATAATGATGATCTGAATATTATGGCAAAATATTGGAACTATTTTTGCTCAGCGCAGCTAGATAGCCTAAACGCGTTCAAAGGGTAGTAAGCTGAATTTTTCGTAATTACATTGGGGGCTTGCGCCCCAAAAAACTGTATGTGTGCTATACTTGATTGGTTTTGGAACAATTTCCAACAGTAAGTTGTTTTTTTTGGTTTTTGATTTATCGATTTATTGCGGGTTGGTACATCGACATGGTTTGAAATTGTGTTTTTTACACGTAGAAAATCGGGTGGGGACAGGTTTACACGTCGTGTCCGACCTAGCAAGAATACGATATTCTATCCGAAATAAGTGGGAACAATAATGCTATTGTCAACGTCTAGTGATGTCATTTAGCTGCAAATTGATATATAACTTAATATGATTTACGTAAAAATGCCTTTTGAAATTTTGACTTGTGGCATTCGTCCGATTTGGCGAGTTCAACCCGTTGTCTATATATTATATACTCCGCTTTGAGTATTTCCGGTATGTTGATGACGCTTTTGGGGCATTTGGACTCACGGTATCGAGTCGTTAAAAACATTCCATGAGCTTGGGAATAACCTTCAATCCAAGAATAAAATTAGAATTAAGATATTCAGCTGAAAAACTTGAGTTTCTCGACGTAATGACGAAGATTCAGAATGGCATTTTAATAACAGACCTATACACTAAACCACAGATAAACACCTGTACTTGCATAAAAATTCGTCTCATCCGGAATCGACAAAAAAAAATCAATACCATATGGACTTGCCCTCCGTGCTAAAGCGAATATGTACTAATGAATCGACATACAAACAACATAGAGAAAATATTAAAACTCAGTTACAGAAACGAGGCTATGAAGATCGACATATTTGAAACAGAATTAAATAAAGTAGATAGTAAAAAAAGAAGTGACCTATTACATTATAATGAAGATAAAGAAAACACTGAAAGAATCCCCTTGGTACTGACATTTTCCAGAGCGCTCCCGAATGTAGGACAAATAGTACGAAAACACCTACCTGAATTACACACCTCAGGTAGAAAGAAGGAAATATTCCCGAATCCACCAATTGCAGCATTTAGAAGAGATAATAACCTACAAGACATTCTCGTTCATAAGAAACACAATAAACTATTTTTTTCACAGCCGAATTCCTGTGCTCCTTGCAGATCCAAAAAGTGTGCGATTTGTCCGTACGTTATTGAAGCAGACACATTCATTGGTGTGAACGGGGGCCTCGTATAAGGTTCGAAATCAGATCGCGTGCAAATCTACGAATGTTGTGTATGCAGTTTATTGTAAGCTTTGCGAACGTTATATTTATGTTGGAGAAACAGGGGATACGTTGTACCAAAGACACCTTCTTAATTTATCCAGAATACGAACCAAATACAACGATCCGTTAGCGGCGCATTTTTACACGAACGACCACACAGTAAATGATTTTTGGGGGCGCAAGCCCCCAATGTAATTACGATAAATTCAGCTTACTACCTTCTGAACGCGTTTAGGCTATCTAGCTGCGCTGAGCAAAAATAGTTCCAATATTTTGCCATAATATTCAGATCATCATAATACCTTATCTAATTTAAAATTGACTGGTCATTCTATTACTTAATTTTAAATCCTTTTATCACAAAATTACAAATACCATTGCTTTACGCGATTTGAATATTACTACGCTAGCAGTCGATAAAAATTTAATGAGAACCAGTTTATTTGTTCTACCTTCTGGTTCCCGATGCATGAGAGCCAAAGTACTTGCAAAAATTTGGTGCCAATTTTATCAAGTCATAAATTAACTAACTATCATAGAACACAATAATTCAGGAAGATGGAAAACGATTTTCAAATTAGATAACTTTCAACAGTTGCAAGCTTAAAATGGTTAAAAAGTGTGAATGACAGAGTAAAAATTTGTATGCGTATGAATACGAACTATTTTCCCTCTGACGTCATTTTCCCGAAATCGCCATCTTGGTCAGTTATTCCGAGAAAAGGTTGAGAAGATCTGCTATCAATATAGGAAGTCACAGCTATTGCGTTGATATTTTGGTTGCAATCAATTCCGTATGTATAATCAAGTTTTCTTCACAATCTGGTAAAGCTACTGCAGTATTGATATATTTCGCTTGATAGCCTGCAAATTTTAGTGCAGTGTCAGCTCGGCCCTAAAACGTACTCGGCCCCGAGTCAGCTCGGCCTTTTTTCAACTCGGTCCACTTTTCAATTTATTAACATATTGGTTTTTCTTATCATTTTTTATTGTTGAAACCACATAATTAATATCTGGACTTATTCAGAAACCTGGAAAGATATTTTCTTAAAATTATTATTACATTTTTGACTACTTTTTGAACACATCTCTATCAGTCTATTACTCAATTTACTGTATTAGCTATCTAAGCTTAACAAGATAGGCCCAAAACTTGTCATGATATACAGGTAAAATGTAATAATTGGTGAAAAATGATAGTTTTCAATTTTGTGATCATGATTTTTGCAAGCGACTGGAGGTACTGCCCCAGCCCTGTAATGAATAAAATCCTATCCTATGAGTCTCGAGGTCCCAAAATTTAAAGGACTAGTAATAATTATAATTGTTAAATACAATATGACCCCTGCAGGACAGGGCAGACCGTGAGACAAGGCGGACCGTACCAGGGCGGACTGTGACTTGAGACTAGGCGGACCGTATTTTGGGACATCAATGATTTAATACTTTTATTACATTAGTCCACATATAAATACTTTTTATATCACGGTCCGCCTAATCTTGAGTCACAGTCCGCCCTGTCCTTAATTCAATATGACTTAAAATAAGAAATACTTATTTCATACATGTAGATCTGATTTTCACACTTTTGCCTTCATCAGATGTAGGATTTCATGATATTTATGGTCAGTCCATAATTTTATAGATTTTTTATTTAATAAAAAGAATAAGGAAAGTGAAACACACGAAACAAAGTGGGTCAGGTTTCTATAATTTTATTTAAGACCTACGTTACGGCTATTCAATAGCCTTCATCAGGGTACCAATTTTTTTTTATTTGTAAATTTATAGACATTTATATCTGAAAAAAGTAGTTGTATTAAAATTCAAAACCACAGGTCGATAATAATAAGATAACTGATTATATCATTAAATATAACAGATTCCAGATAATGTGAATAACGGCATATATTACGCTTTAAAATCAACTAAAAACGTACAAGGTTAACAATTTGTTGCGTTCATTTACTCTGTAAATTAATTACGCAAAGAATGTGAATTTGAAGTGTTTTTGGTGTGTACTTTCATTTTCGAAACAGCTGATTGACCGCTTCCATTTAACAGTTGAACTGTGTATCTATTTCCAATTAATACCTGTCAAGATACTTTCAACTATTTTTTTCTGTAAACCAGTCAAATTATGTCTTTATTGCTTACGTGCTTGATAAAATAATTATTCTATTTTCTTGATAATTGTAAGGATTTATTAATACACATGTTGTGCATGGTTGCTTCAAGGGCTAATCAAATTGACATTTTTTTCACACAACTCTGTTGCCGGGGAAACTTGATAAACTTACCTCATTACCTTTGTTGATATACACAATCAATAAAAACAACTTGTCTTTAGCAGCGGAATTTTATATACATCATATTAAGTCATCATTACTTTTATTGTTTAACATCTATATGATTATTACACTAATAGTATTCATGGAATTGGTAGAGGAATAGGCAGTGGCTAGCAGTATGAACCAGTATTGGCTGTATGCGAGTCAAATACGACTAGCATATACTCACTGTTGAGGCTAGCTGTACAGCATTTTAAAAATGAGTTGCCTAAAACAATAATATGCAAACTTGTTTTTCTAAAAGAAGATTTTATTGAATATCATATACAATTTCAGTCAATGCGAAAGTAAAAAGAAATTCCACCCGCAAGGACTGGGATCCTTAGACTGATGATTTTTCCCCCGCCCGGACTCTGACATGTTTTTTTGTAGGTATGGGGGAGGGATATTGCCATAATTATAAAGAAAAATATTTAGCATATATGAATTATCAGACTCAACTATAAGATACTAAAGAAAAAATATACAGAAACATAATTGATAAAACATTAGCATAATTCACAAGAAAACAATACATGTACATCTTTCAAAGGTTTAATTTTGAAGATTGGAGAAAAAATATGTTTTGGTCAAGAAATTATCCGAGACAAGATGGTGGCTTACATTACTTAGCAAAAACTGGTCGTATCCTGCGGTGATTTTGGTTATCTTGGTCTGTGAATACAAGCAAAAATTAAAAAGATAGATCGATCTTGGAAGCTTTGCATATTTCAGAAGGCCAAAAATTGTTTCAAACTGGCTGAAATTTTATTCGGACATGACAACTGACTGTATCGAAATTTATCTCGACCCTACTGATTTTTAGTTGGCGAGGTCCGAGGACCGACAGCCTTTCGCACAGACTGCAATTTACAGTTGGTAAAGTAATTTGTAGTGTTTGATGATCAAAAGATTTTTTTTCCTTCTGAAAATCACAGAGTTGAATAATTTAAATCTGTGTGAAAGCGCAAAGAGAAAGAGACTGAAAATTAATTTATTATATTTTTATGGACATTATTATATAGATACATTTGTAATCAAACATTGGGTCAATTTCCAACAGTAGTTGAATTATGACAGTATTTTTAATAATTTTATTTCACTTTTAGCTACTTGAAAATTTCATGCTGGATGTTTGCTTACCATTACATTTTGCATAAGAGCTCTATGATTGACATTAAAGTCCACGGGCCAATTCATTTCTGATGATATATCTTTCCGATATCTTGTTATAATATAAAAGGCTGAATGTCATCGTAGAATTATTAGGAAAAAATATATATGTTCATTCTTTGTAAAAATGTTAGAAGACTTGCAAGTTACCAATTTTATCATTGCATTTATTTATTATTGAAAAAATGCTGAACGGCTATCCTCAACAGTGTGTATAGGCTAGAACTTTCAGTTTGCATTTAGGGTCAAAATATATTGTTACAGTCATGACAGCTTTCCCGTTGCTGTCAACAAACTTTAACCTTTCATAACTTTTCAGATCTTGGTGTATTGTCTTCATACTTGGCCACAACAACCCTTCAAATAGACCAGACTAAACTTGACCTCCATATAAACATTCAAGGTAAAATATTTAAATTTTCCTGATTTTTGCTATTAGTGGTTATGACTTTGTTATTTTTGAATGGATTGTCTTCAAACTTGTATGCAACAATCTTTCAGGATAGGACCTGATTCACTCATTAATGTCCTTGAAGCTTTTGTGATCAGAAGTTGTGAAGAATAATACAAATACAGAACAATTTCATTTACTTGGTTTTGCAATTTCTGAGACAATGGATTTTAAAGATAGTTGTTTTCTTAAAATTTAAGGACAGTATAGTAGATTGAAAAGACATTTAGTACATACTGTATATACACTATAACTACTATAGTATACTTAACTATAAAAATCTTTGTTCTTGGACAATTTTGAACAAATTGTTTCTTAAACAGTGTAAGAAATTAGGATTTGAATCGACTAGTCTGGTCGGACTACCAGATTGGAATATTCACTAGCCCAAAAGACATTTCTCTGGCACGATTAATTTGTTCAAAACAGTTGTTTATATTGCCTCTTAAAATACAGTAGCTTGGTCAGGCCTGTTACTGTGAAAAGTTGGTAGCCCGAGGAGAAATTTAGTATTCAGGGGCTATAGGACTACTGCTAATTTCTAACACTGCTTAAATTATTGATTTGACTATTGATTTCAACTAACATAATTATTGGGATACTATATGTATATCTAATAATAATTATATTTTATCTTTCCAACTTTCTGTTTCAGATGGTCGGCCTACATGTCAGATTTGTAAATGTGAACGGCACGATATCGATTTTAAGAATGCTTTAGGGTCAATGAGGATGAAATAAAATGTGAGACTGTCAATCTGACAAACCTTGCAGTGAATAAATGGTAAAATGTTTCTTTCAGTAGCATGGCATTTAAGGAAGCGGTACATGATGATTTAGAAGTGGTTGTATATGATATTTCTTAATTATTATATTCTAATAGCTTTTTTTTCTTGACTTGTTTAAAGGCTGACACAGGATAGTTTATTTTAAGTCAGTGAGCTTCTGTCACTGGATAGACTATTAGTCACAAAAATCCAAATTTATAAAAAGGAATTACAGTGAATTAAATATCATCTTATAGAATAGAAATTAGGAACAAAATTAATAACAAGAACAATTGTGACATGTAACATGTATTTAGGAATTCAGCTTTCCTTTCCTTTTCACCTCAGGAGAATTCACATTAATTTAAAATAATGAATATTCACAATAAGCACTCCGACATATCTGACATATATGATTATCTTATCTTCACTTAGCTGTCTATAGCTTATCAGAATCACTCACATTTATCAATTTAAATGATTTTGAAAGAATTGCTGCTTAGCAAATAGATAAAATACTTGGGGTGTCTGTGGCGATTGGTTGACTTTAAACCTTTAAACCTTTCACTGCTGTAGGTTCGTGCTCACTGCTGTAGGTTCGTGCTCTGCAAGTGTTTACGGATCATTTCATGTGAGAAAGCTATCTAGCTCATTTATGGAACATTGATGGTACCAAGGTGCCTGAAATCATACACATAGGTGCACCAAGGTCTTCCTCAAGCAGTAAAGCTGGAAATTGTGCTTTAAATTGCCCCCGAAAAAAAAAACAACAAAAATAATGGAATTTTTATTTTGCTATTAACTTTTTCTAAACAAATATTTCAGGAAACAGTGGCGTTTGTATGATAGAACAGTAATAGCAGGAGTGATAAGGACAGATGCATGTAGATGTGTCTTCATGTCGGAAACACTAGAGAAATTGACACATTTGGGTTTTATCAAAATTAAAGGAATTGGAATACCAGGAGACTGCTTGCCATTTGCAATGTTGGAATGTGTGATGTCGAAAGCCTCATGAATATAGTAACTTGACTTTATTAATCTAATAAGAAAAAGAAAAGACATTGAGGTGAAAACTAGTCACCAGTCTTTCACCAAGAACATGAGATAACTTTCCAATATTTGAAATATCATAATATGTATAGAACTTGAATGAGCGACATAATATGTATTGATATTGAATGAGCGACCAGTTTTTCACCAGGAAAATAAGATCACTTATCTATTTTTGAAATATGTATGAACATAACTCTATCAACTTCAAGGTGAGAGTTTATCATGAAGAACATGAGATAACTTGTGTATGAACAGAACCACATTTGAATATAGAGGCGCCAGTTCATCACCAAGAAGATGAGCTAACTTATCAATGTTTGAAATCTGTTATACCCCCGCACAACAAAGTTGTAAGGGGGCTATACTGGAATCAGCTTGTCCGGCCGTCGGGCGTCAGTCGCTTTTTTCTTGTCCGTCCATAAAATTAAGATTCCTTTGACCCACAGTCTTCATATTTGGCATGGAGTTAAGTCATGATTAGTAGATGACCTCCATTAATTTTGAGAACACCAAGTCAAAGGTCAAGGTCACAGGGGTCTTGACTGAAGAAAGCTTTCCTGCCCAATAACTTAAGAATCCTTCGACCCACAGTCTTCATATTTGGCATGGAGGTTAGTCATGATTAGTAGATGACCCCTATTTATTTTCAGGTCTAAGGTCATGGTCACAGGGGCCTTGGCTAATTAAAGCTTGTCTGCCCAATTACCTAAGAATCCTTAGACCCATAGTCTTAATTTTTGGCATGGAGGTTAGTCAAGATTAGTAGAATACCCCTATTGATTTTGAGGTTACTGGGGCAAAAGTCAAGGTCACAGGGGCTTTTATTACAATTAGCTTGTCTGCTCAAATGGTCTCATATATTCATCATAAAACACCTCCAGGCAAGGCTGCATGAAATGGGGGGGTTATTGAAGTCATTCAATGGCAGTTTTAGTTTTGAGGTCAGTAGGTCCAAGGTAAAGTTCACTTTGATCTTTTCTACTAAAACATGTAGAATATATAACTTAGCAATGCACTGGCTTACTTCCCTCAGATTTGGCTGAGCTGTAAATGACTACTGTTGATTCTGACAAATTGGTATGTGGGGGTATTCACGCCATGACAATGGCAGTTCTAGTTTGTACAGAAAATATCAAGATGCAAGTTTCTTTTATTAAGAATAGACTTATTGATTAGATAACTTACAATATTTACAAACATTTATAATACCAAACCCATTTAAAGTATTTCAGCTGAGAGTGTATTATCCAAAATACATGTATTGTTATAATGTACTTTATAGTATATTTATTGATATATTTATTGTAAAGTTTTGATTCTACTAGATTTTAAAAACATTTAGATTTTACTTGATCTTGAAAATATTTTGTTCCATGCTCTTTCATTTAATTTTGAATAATGAATCCAATAAATACCTATAATAAGTATAGGATTAAAATTGATAATGTTTTCTATCTTTAACTTATATAAAAAAAGTAATGTTTAAACTGTTGGTTAGATTTCAAACAGAACTAAACAGGGGTGTACAGTGCCATCCTTAGTTGTGCACATTGTTGGCATGTTCTCATCGTCGGATATACATGGCCGAACCATTAATATTCATCATTGATTGCATGTTATGTGACATGTTTATCAATTGTGGGTATCCAACGATGGCAGCCATGTCCTGTTTCTCTGCACAAAATGGCCGAAGAGTTGAAAAAAGAAAAATCTATCACATGTACAACTGCCAAAATTCAAAAGAGTGATCAGAACCATACACAGTTTTGGGAGACATGTTTTTGTGACAAAAGCCCTTCAAGTTCATATATGACCTTGACCTTTATTTGATATAAAATATCTTTGGAGTTAGCTGGAATTGTCATTACTTTGTTATTTTTTACAGATTTGAATCATGCTTGAACAAACAAACACAGAACCAACATGTTGAATTTTTTCTGATATATTTTGACCTTTAAATGACCATTACCTCCAAGGTTAAACAATTGAAATTCACTCACATTGTCATAACTTTGTTTTTGTCTATGATTTGATTCATTCTTGGACAAAAGAACAATTATCATTCAACTATGACCTTTACTATTCAAATTTGAAATTTACTTTATACATTTATATTATGTTTTCTAGGAGTACTCTAATAGATATTACAATATTCTCCTACTGATGTGTTTGACTTTCAATATAAGAAAAAGCCAAGCATGGCCCAAGCTAGATAGTGGCTCTTGTTTTCAATGCCAACTTGATTATATGTATCCATTCCAATTTACATTCTCACATGTATTATCTATTGTGCTTGAAAGGTTTCTACAAAAAATAAGTTTGTTCTTACAGTCCTGGTTTTATTTTAGAAATATTTTATAGACAGTTAAATTTTCTGTTTATTTTCTATCTGCATAATCATTTCTTGGAATAAATATAGTAAGTACACTGATTTATGTGTTATACATTCACATAAGGAAGTACTTTACATGAAAATTGGTTAAACAACTATAGTTTCCCAACAAAATCCAATGTCATAATTTAAAATGTTTATTCATGATAAATATGATATCAATTATGCATTTTGCCTGGGTTTGTTAGTATGTTCTTGGTACATGATTTTCTATTTTGACAAGAGTTTGGAAGCGATACTATTATATTGTGTACAAAATGGGCACTTATTCAACTTTGAAAGAAGAATGATATCAGATTGGAACACCTAAAGTAGATTGCTATACAAATCTCGAATTTAGCACATATTGCGCCCCCATCAGTGCTTTCAGCACTTTGATTCAATAATGGGGCTGGAAAAGCTATACGGGAATGACCAATACAGAAAAACAATAGAAAATTTGTGGAAAAATAAATTAAGAACCTATAGACCGTATGGAGTAAATACCAAAGAATAACGCGGCAGACGGCAAACAACGCCACGGCGGGCGTCGTTCATTGACGTTACGTCACTTCCATTGTTTTGTTTGATATATTTGAATGTAGAATAAATGCTGCTGAAGAAGGCCGCAAGGCCGAAAGCTACGGCAAATTTAAATGAGCGTTTTTGCTTATATATACAGTATATATTTTTTTCTAGAATTACTTTTTTACACTATCCCAACACTCTGCTGGGTCCCTGTGATTACATTTGTACCCACATGAGGTTCTGGGAAGGGTCTCGTCAGGTATATAACTTATGTCATCGGTGAAATTTACCGTCGAGTCACACACTATAAGAATCTTACACTGGCTGCCGGTATAGACCGGAATATCTAGCTCGAGGGTAACTGTTTACGGCGGTAACGAGGCTCTGCCGAGTTTCCGCTTTAACAGTTACCCGAGAGCTAGATATTCGCGTCTGTACCGACAGTCGGTGTTTGATTCTTTTTCTTGCATATTACATACCAATTATTTTCGGAACAGAAATAACGAAACCTGATATTTTCATTACGCACTTTTTTCTTATAGTTGCGTGTGAACTTAAAACTTCATTCATAACGGTTAAGTGACGTTATCCTGAGAACGCGATTCATTCATAAAAGTCGCGCGTCAATGACGTTATTTAAAGCACGCGACTTGTCTTACATGGGGGGTGTAAGACAGAGTTTTCTAGCACCGGTGTAAACGGTAGATACTCCTGTCTGAGATGCAAGAATATATAATCAGGCCTCACCCCTACTCTACAATTCCAATCGCCCGCCAGAAGAGCGCGTCCTAACTGGTCAAATTAATAAAAAATCTTGAATAAGTAATTCAAACAGATTTGCATCTATAACTCGAGAGGCAGGAAACTCGTCTGCCCATAAATATAGGCCGCATTTAAATATATATCTGTATCAAAAATGAAAAAAAGAAGCATTTAACTTTTAGCCAAATAATCGTATCGAAATGGTTTTTTACGACTGATACGCCTTCATTACAAGTTTTTTTTTACATAGATAATAATGCCACCCTTATTTCGCCTAGCTTTCTTATGTTTAAATTTACGAGAAAAAAAATGTATGTAGTATAATTATCAAAATCAGTAATAGAGTCACTATCTGTCCATGATTCACTTAATATGATTATATTATTTTACATAAAAGAGAAACAAAATCAGAGTCTGTTAATTTACTGTCTGTTAGGCCATTACAGTTCCACACAAAAACATTTATTCCATCCTCCGACAGTTCCTAGTCGCTTTTGAAAGGTTTACCTTCAATGTATAAGGTATCATATACCAACCAAAGCTTTTCTGTTTGCCTTAATTGCGTCATGGAGTCTAGGCACTAACTTCCGGCGACGAGCTGCTATTTCTGGCGGATAGTAGTCTGATCCTCTCAATAAATGCTTTTTTGTCGACGAACTAGCTTTCTGTCAGAAAAGAACGCAAATTTTACAACGATATTTCACGGTTCGTGTCGGAACTGATAGCTCCCATATATTGTATGCGTTCTAATTTAATAGAATCGACTATTGATTTTGCAATCTTCAGTTTCTGTACTAGAAAGTCTCGAAATTTTACTTCTAAATTTTCTTCCGTCTCCTCCTTGAAGCCACTAAGCACAAGATTGTTTCTCATACTTTGGGATTCTAAATAAGTTACTTTATCTTTCAGGCTAGAATTTTCTTTTTCCAGCTCCTCTACCCTCGACTGATATTCGGCGGATATAAATTCTACTCTTTCACAACGTTCCGCTATACTTGTTAATGTATTATCTAATGTTTTATGTTGATCGTGCACTTGTACTCTAAGTTACTTTAGATCTTTCTCAAATGATTTAGCATTCTCCTCTAAGGAATCTAGTTTGATTAAACGACTTTCAACACCGTCAAGTTTAACCTCAAGATATTTCAGAAAATTCACTCTTTGACGGTGGATTAGATTGTGAGACACTTTCTGTCGGAAACAAACATTTTTCTACGGGCTTCCGTTCGTGGGTAGTTTCACGATTAGCATGTGAGCAATTATCCATGTTGACTGAATTGATATCTTCGAAAACGTTATTACAAGAATCAAACAGTATATAATTAGTTTCATTCCAAACTTCGCTCACCGATTTATTATGTTAGTCCAAATCTGCCTCCCCTGACGGGCCTCCGACCCTGTACGCCTTACTAAGATTCACAAACTCTTCTTTATTACTGCTTCTATGTTTACGCTTTTTATGGTTTTTTTCCAGATTTTACACTCATTATATGTTTAAATTCACATCTACATAGAAAAAGATCCAAAAAGAAATCCACAAATATTAATTTTATCTAAAAATGTACTACATTATACGTGTTACACTACCCAATCACGTGACATGTTATATATCATGTTATGTTTATCGAAGACATATTTCAGGCAAAATAATATATTATCGCATGGTTTGGAATTTTTTCTTTTTTTTCTTACCATTGTACATTTTCAATGAGGATTTGAAAACTGTACTGATATATAAACAGTACAGTTTTTTTTCATTGATATAGGAAAGAAATTCAACTAATATTGTTGTCGTTTCTTGTTGTTGTTTTTTGGACCTTGTATATATCAATGTAGTTAAAGACAGAGGCCGGAATGGGGGTAACACATTCATAGTAGCGAAAAACCTAGATTAACTTGCTGGTATTGGTTCATTTTTTTTAGGATTTACGTTTGAAAAAGCAATGAATTGCAGTAATTTCTTTTCTGATTTCTGTTATAATAAATTATGATATTACGATAAAACAGTCATCAGTCAGGGGTGTAACTTATAGCAGTTATCATTTTTATAACTGAATTAAGTTATAAATTTAAGATCTACAGGTTGCTTCCCTTTGGCTATCCTTCACTTTTATATCATTTCTATAAATAGGTTAACAAGGGCACTAAATCACGCACGCTTCATTTTATTGATCTTATGTCCTGATCAGCTCCCTTTACTTTATTGTTCACAGGATTTTCAGTTCAAGACAAAAAAATGAATTTTAAATATCTTGATGACAAAGTTGGTTAAGTCATCGGGAAGCAATATAACTGAAAATTTTAACGAGTTTGAGTCTCACTTCTAACTTTTTCCCTATTTTTTCCAAGTTTACTAAAGATGAACATGCATTTGAAAATAAAGGTAGTTTTGTTATACTATCGTATGATTTTAATATACCGGTAATAATATTTTTTATCCTGTGTATTGTATATATTGCAGTAGTCATGTACTTGTGCAGTGCACTAGTATTTCAACAATACACTTTACATTTCTTTACGTCAAGAAGAAATGTAACATACACGTATTCGTCTTACAGAAAATAATTATTATTTTCGCGTATAAAGTACAATCCGAACCAGCAGGGGTGAGTAACCAGAAGCATTCGTTAGAGTAACGATCATCGTTCAGCCTTGGTTAAGATCTAATAAGTAATTTACCCTCTAACCTAAAACGTTCGTTATACCAAAAATTCTAACTAAACTGTCGTTAAATAACGAATACTTCGGAGTACACGTTAGACCTTCGTTGAAGGTAAAAAAACAACGTGTGAAGCTCTTTCAAGAAACTTTTTATGAGTTTATATTATGTATTATTTTTATAGCGTATTTTCTTCCTATTTTCCTGATAATAAGTCCTTGATATGGTGTTACAATCTGTATATGTCTTAATGTGTAAAGTTATTATTTATTTATTAATTTATTATTAGTATTATTATTATCATCATCATTATTATTATTATTATTATTATTATTATTATTATTATGACTGCATTCTTTTTCAAAATAATACGTTACCGTACTCAATAATCTTGAGTGAGCATTTTCCGTAAATGATTTTTAGAATAATTCAAAATATCTTTATGCAAGTGATGTTGTTTTTTCATTCCGCAGACAATGGCCGCCATGCTGCTAGAGTATTTAGATAACTGACCGACTTTTGACTCTCATATATTTGAATGCTTCTTAGGAGGTTGATTAATTTCTTCAACTAACATAGAGAACACAAAGCGACCTGTTGATCTCTTGATAGTTACAGTAGCCCTTATCTCTATACAAAAGTTATATATATAGAGAATCTAGAGATAAGGGCTATATCACTAATATACGTATATTATATAAAAGCCAGCAGATGGCGCTAGGGCAGGTTTCTTATTAATTTTATGCATGCTTCACTTCAGGGACCCTTTTTCAAAGATTTAAGATTAATTACCAAATGCAATAAAACAACACTTGGCATGTTTGTAGGAATATATATTTTTGATAAAGATTGACCAAAATTATTCAAAATATAACATTGTAAAGTGTATTTCTGGAAAAAAATACTGGCTGTCAAATTTGAAATTTGAATTTCCCTGGGAGGAGCCATGTGATCATTACAGGTCATGAACCTTCAATAGTAAACAGAAGCACGTGGCAGTGTTTGTTTCAGGGAGAGATATTTGTAGCAAACCATGTATATTTCAGGGAAGGAGATTTTCAGCAGACGACACATTGGAATGCTGAATACATGATAAGAAAAAAAAAACAAT